TGCTCCATAAGAAACTGCCAGAAAATTTAGCAGCTTAAAACAGCTTTTTATTATTGCCACTTAGGCATATGGGCTCAGTGGAACGTTTTTCAACTGCAATGGTGTCAGCTAGGCTAAAGTCATCTGGAGATTTGTCTAGGCTGGCTATCATCAAAGGGGATTAATCTTAGGCCTGTGGTTGAAGCCTGGAGTTCATTTGGGCTGACAGTTTAGAGCACCTACAAACTCCTCCCCTGACTTCCTGCTTACAGCTTGGTCTCAGATTGGCTTCACTTTTTACATGGTGTCTGGATTCAACAAAAAGTTGAAGCTGCTAGGCTGGAGCTAGCCTCAGAGTGTCACTGGCACCATATTCAGTGGGTTACAGCAATAAGATGGCCTTCGTAGATTCAAAAGAATAGCGCAATCAACTCCATCTCTAGACACAGGTAAGGTGAGGGGTGTGTGGCCATCTTTGGAATATGACTCTCCTCTCACATTTTCTAATATATATGTACAATAAGTTGAGCATACATTTTTATACCATATGCACAAGAACATGAAAATGTACTTCCTATTAAAATGAAAATTACTAAAAAAATAAATTCTGTAGCTGAAATGTGGTAACACACAGATTTCTGGCTATTTCACTTTCAGAAATGGACTCCCTACCCAAAAATCAGAGATTATGTGTCTGTGTATGTATATACAGACATATATATATATATTCATTCCAAGGAGTGCCACTATAGTGACCTTAGAGAGACAGACTCTGGTTTGTCTATACTTACTTAAACTGTGTAAATAATTTTCTCCAAAAGAGTTTCATGTCATTTGCATTTTCTAATTACAGATCTGAAAGCCATCATTCTAAAATTAGAGTTAACTATTAACCAAATGTAGACTGCAGTGCTTTATTTGCATAAAATAAAACTTTATCTTGAAGTTCCTCAGCCACAATAATACTTAAGATAATCACCAGCAATTAATATGTGTTGATTGCCTTGATGATATTCAAGGCTCTAGAAGCTATAAAATTAAGATGTTTTTGTCCACTGACAGCCTGAGATTTACAGCGAAGCATTCAGGATCTAAGATAGCAGTAAGAGTCATGGTTCTTGTATTCTAGAGCAATCATTTTTTTCTCTTTTTCTCTCATTTGAGTATTGGGGAGTTGAACTCAGTGCCTCACATATGCTAGACAAGTGCTCTACCACCTGAGCTGTACAGAGAACTACTTTTTAACCTAATGTCACATAAGTTTAAAAATACTTGGGGCGGCTTTAAAAACTATCAGTGTTGTGGACCCAGCCCAGACAAATTAAATCAAGATCATTGGTATTGAACATAAATGTGCACATTAGAGTAGAGAGATACAACTCAGATCTTGTTAAAATGTAAATTGTATAAATTAGGTTTTCTCAGTATATCACATACTTCACTTCTCAGTTCTTCTTTAGGGTCTTTTTTCAAGAATTATAGTCAGCTTGCCGATTTTTGCTTTCATTTATCTCAAACTACAGAGCAAACATATACTAGACATCTGTTTTAATGTAAAAGTTAGTTTCATCCCTTGCTCTCTGCAAGTGAACAAAAGAAATTTAGTTCTCTGAAAAAAAGACCAAATTAATTAGATATCTGTACAGCAATTGCCTTCACTTAAGCAATTCATAATTAAACATGTTAACTTTCAAATAGCATGCTCTTACATAACTGATAAAGGGTGTAATTAGTGCATCAATCTCCTAAATGGTTTTCTGCCTTGGGACCTTCACAGACCTTAGTTGGCGGTTTCTGTCCAAGAGCTTGCATCCCAGCTACTCCGTCTGGTCCCTCTGATAGCAGCTTAGAAAACTCTCAGCCCACATCACAAGAAAGGTATTACAGGCTCCCCAGAAAGTGCTTATTCAGGGATGCTAGAAAATAGTGATGTGGCACAATTGTCTATTAAACTACAAAAAGCACTTAGCATTTGAGTTGTACTAATTTTTTTTTACCACAAGAGGTCCCTAAATCCTGTTTGATAAATACAGGCCATGGCATGCACACCTCTCCAGATGCAGTGCTTCTGTGACTTTCCCAACTCTGTGTTTAATAACTTTTTAGCACAGAAAAGCTAAGCTTTGGTTCTTGAGAATCGGCTGCTAGGAATTTTCATTTTTAATTACATCGGGATAAAGAAAATGGCAGCATCCAGTGCTAGAAGAGAAGGTGGCGCCAGGAAAAGAAGTTCCATCAAGTTGGCAGTAAAGTAGAATTCCTTTAGAAGTTAAGTGAAAAAGTCGAATTTTTCCAGAGGTTAAGTGAAAATGCAGGCTACTTTGTGAGCTTCAAACAAACAAAACTGTTCCTCTTCCTTTTTGCTTTATGTCTAGATTTTCTTTCCTGTCCAATCAATGTAAATCTGTTCTAGTTTTTGATAACAGAGAAGAATGGAAAGACTATTCAGATAACAGGGACTTTGATAGTTCATGAAACAGCAATTTTTGTTGTTCGGTCTGACTATTCCAAACCTCATTATTAGTCTTAATATAAATGTTCCACTTCTGCTACTAATTTAGCTGTTCATGCATTCAGTGTCTGTTCCATGCTGAGAAAAAGGATGTATTTATTTCCTTTAGAGTTTTAAATCTTCTTAGAAGATTATAACTAATTGCAGTTTATCTGGAATCTAAAGTCTCTCTTTAGTTTCACAAGCTTAATTTATTTTGATAAAAAGATGTGTGTAGTTATGTAATAATTCTAATCCTTGGAGATTACAAAGGGACAAAAGTAGATCTCCTCATGACAGCCAGGGAGCTTTTGTAATATAAGATCAGCTCAGATTCTGTGATGGGTTTTTTGTACAGGGTTGTTTTCTTTTATAATTTTTTCTTCATTTCAACAGGTCGACAAAAAAAAGCCAGCATCATTTTATAGAATAGTCTTCACTGATTATTATATTTTCTTCTTTTAAGTTAGTCTTATTGAGATACTAATAAAATTAAGGACAGAATTTAGATTATAGTATTTAAAGGTATATGCTTTTAAAATTCTTTTGGAAATGTTAACACTAGGTTATTAAATAGCAATTTGTAAATTGACCGTTAGATGGCGCCAAGTACACATGGCTAGGAAAACCACAGTTTTTTGAATATATAGTGCTACAAGTTTTCTCATTCCACATTATAAATCTTCGGTTATATAGCCCAAATTGCTCATGTAACTGTAACCCGTCTGTACAGTATTTTTACAATAAAAAAGTACAAAAAAGAATTCCGAACAAACAAAAAAATTGCTACAAAAGCTGTTTTTCTGAATGAAATAACCTCACATATGACTCCCTTAGGTAAAAGAGACCTAGCCTCTAAAACTACTTTGATGGTCACGTACACATCAATCTGATCTGTTCTTAGACATTCATTTTATTTTATTTTTCTTAAAAGAGCCTTTTCCTAATATAGCATCTTCCCCTCTCTGGCACAAAGCAAAATATATTTTGATTTTGATTGGGGTCATTACATAACTTCTGCCACATTTGGAGATCCAAGAGAATGAGACCCAAAAAATGTCCTTATAGAATAAAAGAGCACAGCCTCATTTTTGTTCTTAATCTCCTGGTATCTGTATATAATTTCCTTGTTGTAACAGTCTCCCTTGTATTAGTGGTTAGCCTGACTTTGGTATTTTTACAATGTATTCTTTTCTGACTAAATAATGATAATCTGAGCCAAGATGCTTTGGGCTACATATAACAGGTGTCCTTATGTTGAAGCTTTATTAAGTTAAGGACTTCACATGACCATAAGTCATCCAGAGACAAGGGTAGGTTTTTCTTCCAATGGTAGTGTGTTAGACATAAGAATTGCACAGACTTTTTCTGTGCACGGCTAGCTTCCAACCTTGATCCTTAGATCTCAGTATTACAGGCATGAGCCACCACCACCAGGAAAAAAAATTTTAATGTTATGTGAATCTACCATTGTTATGTCAATCAAATCTATTTTCTGCTACATATGCACAACTTCAAGGCACTGGGTAAAGTACTAGGGATAAGTCTGGAGGGAAGCTGCCACCATCTGGAGCCTAACCTAACACATAGATTCCTAAGGACCTGGACACATACAGCCAGCAGTACCAGCTCATTAATTGAAAAGTCAACATTCACTATCAACGATGGGCCCTTGTGGTCTTCCTGGCTTGTTTTGCCCTGACTTTTGCATGTTGTTTGTGTTCTGTCATTTATTAACTGAAATATGATAGATTCAAGAGAGATCTCAAATTCCTTAGAAAGCCAAAATCAAAGTTCAGCAAAATAAATCACCAGGAGGCAGGTACCCAAAGAGAGTGGGGCAGGATCAAGATGGAAAGGGGTACGTGAACGAAGAGGAGAAGAAGGGGAGAAAGCAGTCGAGAATGCAATATGTATCCTACAAAATTAAGCTGAATGGGACGGGGAGGAATGGGGCAGGAAGGGATCAGAATGTTGAAAGGGGTGACATTGATCAAGATGAAGTATATTCATAAACTGATTTGTTAAATGGCAGCTCCTTTGATGATAATTTTTAAAATATTCTTAATTAAAAAGAAGAAAAAGAGACACTATACCTATGAACTGAAGAAAGAAACATTGCTTCTATGTCCCAGAGGAACCCAACTTCCTGTACAGCTGTTTCACTCCAAAGCTGTGTGGCTGGTGCATCATCTGAATATTTGGTTCTTAGCTCTGTTCAGCAAGTATTTGTCTGAAAGAATACTTAATAGCAACTGGAATAAGATTTCCTCTGGTTTGGAATGTTGATAATACGATGTTTATTATATTGCTTGTTTTAATAATTTATTTTTTCTTATCCAATGAACAGTCAAAATCATCAACTGATGCTATCAAGCATCATTTTTTAATGAAAACGAAAATTACTTTTACAAAACAGTGTTGGTATCATTGCTAAATTGATTGAACCTAGTTTTTAGCCATAGCTTTGAAAATAATGAATGTTTTTTAATCTAAATAAATTTTTAATCACCTTGGCATTTTTTTTCAGAAAACTGTGGACTATATTTTCCCGAAATTAAAAGAGACCCAGGCCGATATTTGCACAGTTGTCCAGAATCTGTAAGAAAATGGCTTCGACAACTTAAGAATGCTGGGAAAATTCTGTTGCTGATCACCAGTTCTCACAGTGATTACTGTAGACTTCTGTGCAAGTATATCCTTGGGTAAGCAACAAGCCATTACATTGTATCTAATAAAATACTGGTGGCAATTAGACCAGTGACTAACATTGGGTCCAAACCGTACTGTGTAAAGTAGTTCTGGGAGACAGTGTTTTGGATTTCTTATTACATACCTAAGTATCTGTGGCCAGCAACCTATCCCAAGTACATTTTCCAGGAGCAGGAGCAGAATGTTCTGGGGACAAGATGTACTTATCTCTTACAGATGGCTAAGGCTTGATGTTTTCTGCAAGATAGGTGGATTCCATGTCCTTCAGTCTCCCATGAATTTTTACCACCTTTGGATGATTACTGAAGGACACTGAATTGTAGAATTCATTTCCTGACAAGTGTCTTAGTCAAAACCATATCTGGGTAGAGCCATAGCCTTTTCTGTTTAGCACAGCCAGGGATACACCTGACATCCATGAAATCATCTTTAGAATAAGCAGTTGTATTTAGAATAAGGCAGACTTGGAGGAAGGCTCTACTGTGCAACTTAGTGTGCTGTTGGCTTTTGGTTTGACCTGTCATAAGAGCTCTGAAAAAAACAGAATGGGAGAAACATTTCTCAATATAATAAAAGCTGTATAGGGCAAACCTATAATCAACATCCTGAGACATGGTGAAAAACTGAAATCATTTCCTCTAAAGTCAGGAATAAAAGAAGTATCCCTACTCTCTCTAATCTTATTCAGCACCATACGGTAGTTCCTAAGCAAAGCAATAAAGCATGAGGAAGAAATCAAAAGAACTCACAGATATGGCTCTATATTTAGGACCCTAAAGATGTCAACAAATAAAAGCTCCTATATCTTATAAACACTTTTGGCAACATACCAGGATATAAAATCAGCATATAAAAACCAATAGCTTAGCAGGGCATGAGTGGTTCACACCTAAAAACTCAGCTACTCAGGAAGCTGAGATCTAAGGATTACAGTTCAACCAGGGCAGGAAAGTCTTGTGAGAGTGTTAGCTCCACTAACCTACCAAAAATGCTGGATGTGGATCTGTGGCTCAAATGGTAGAATGCTAGTATTGAGCAAAAGAGAAGGTCAGGGGCAGCACTCAGTCCCTGAATTCAAGCCCCAGCACTGGTACCAAAAGGAAAAAAAGAAAAAAATCAGTAGCTCTTCTATATACAGACAGTGAATACACTGAGAATGAAATCAAGAAAGTTATTCACAATAGCTTCAGCATAAATTAAATATCTAGGTATAAACTTAACCAAGGAGGTGACAGAAATGACAAAATTAACATTATGAAAATGGCTGTATTACTAAGATCAATGTACAGATTCAGTGCAAGTCCCAATGGCATTTTTCACAGAAATAGAACATTCAATCATAAGATTCTTTGAGAATCACAAAAGATACCAAATACCAAAAAACAGTCTTATGCCAAAAGATACAACACTGGACTTCAAATTAGATTCTAAAGGCATACTAGTAAAAGCAGAATGGTGCTAACATAAAAACAAATATGAAGAAATCTACACAACTACAGCCATCTGATCTGCCACAAAGGAGCCAAAAACATACACTGAAGAAATGTTTTCCATGATTTACTGTTTTGACTAGGAATTCCAGTACAGTATTAAATAGAGGAGAAAGAGTGGACATCTTTGTCTTGTTCTGGCTCTAGAGAAAATGGTTCCAGTTTTCCCCTATTAATAGGTTACCTTTATTATGTTCCTTCTGTTCCTAGTTTGTTCAGCTTTTCCTAGTCTGTTCAACAAATGAAGTTGGAAAAACTAGTTATCTCTATGAAGAAGGCATGAATCTAGAACCCTATCTTTTGTTTTTGGCCAGTCCTGAGGCTTGAACTCAGGGCCTGGGCACTGTCCCTGAGCTTCTTTTGCTCAAGGCTAGCACTCTACCACTTGAGCCACAGCACGATTTCTGGTTTTTTCTGTTTATGTGGTACTAAGGAATTGAACCCAGGGCTTCATGCGTGCTAGGCAAGCATTTTTCCACTAAGCCACATTCCCAGCACCCCTGTCTCTCTATTGTCATCTAAAATGTGCTATATTATAAGATTATACTAATTTTTTAATATCTTCATAATTAAAACACTCCAAGAAATTTTACCAGACTTATTATAATGCAACTTTAAGACCAGTGTAACAAAAAAGTACTAATAATTCTTCAAGATAATTAGGCCAAACAAATCCCAGTCCCCGGATTTGAAAACATGGCTCCTGAATATTCACTGATGATGGAGACAATTGAATCCATTGCTGTATTATCCTCTGGAGGACAGTTCAATATATAGATTCAGAGTGCTTATGAGTGCCTTCCTTGCTTGCTTTTCTTTTTTTTTGTAAATGTCTGATTTTTTTCTGATATTTTTGTTGTGTTCATAATGTAAGGAATTGTCAAGAAGACAGGTGATCACTACCTTTTATTTCTAGTGCAGTAGAAATGAGTAAGAAAAATGTAACGCATGAAACACTTGACCACAACAATGCTGTTGTAAACTAGACCAGCAGAGATTAAATTGTTCTCTGTGGAGAGTTCCTAGTCCCTTAAAATAAATTTACAAAAACCATTGTTGCTTTTAGAGATGATTTTGCTGACCTTTTCGACGTTGTAATTACAAATGCATTGAAGCCTGGCTTCTTCTCCCATTGCCCGAGTCAAAGGCCTTTCCACACACTTGGTAAGTTGTATTCTCTTTCTTTTCCTCTGCAACTATTAGCTTACAAGCAAGTGAAAAGCAATGTGTCATATTCCCAAATGGGGGGGGAAAGAGAATGAACCTGTGTTTGAACTATATTCTGCCGTTTTATATCCTAATCATTTATGTGCACGTCAGTCTCTTTCTGTTTTTGAAAAATCAAGGGCACAGACTTTACCTTGATCTTTAGAGTCTAGGTAAATGCCGAAGTAAATACCCCCAGGGAATGAATACTAAGTCAAAATTGATTATTTTAGTACTTACGGAATTTATGTTTACTGTGCAAATATTTAGAAAAGCTTACTCGGGTTTTTTTTTTTTTCCCATCTGGAAAGAGTTTGACAAGAACATATCAGAGTCCTTTGGGGCCTTCAGTTTTTGGGGCTTCTGACTTAAAATATTTTGATGGAAGATACAGTGAATTCAGTTGTTTTTATTGTTAAGACAAAAAATACTTCATTCCTTTTAGAGTAAAAAAAAAAAGGTGGTTGGACTGTTATTCAGCAGAGCATGGAACTGCCCCGATTTTTTAAATCTCTAATTCACTATGTTCTGCTGCCGTGTTTATTTTGTGGCTGTTGCTGATTCTCAGCTACCTTTAAGATTTCTGTCAGTTTCCGCTGGTGGTTTGCCTTTCCCTTTCTCTCCAGATGCTGCTGATCACCAGCTGTTCTATATGCGGCTGTCCTTTCTTTTCTTGTCCTTCACCTCTGAGTGGTTGGAACTCAGCTGTCTAATTTCTTCTCTCTTGGCTTCACTAGACCTAAAGATGCCTCTTTCTTCTCCACCCCCAGAACTCAGGTCACATGCAATTTGAAGTGCCCCTTGCTAGGCTATTCTGTAATTCTGTAGTCATTTTTCTGATGAAACAGCAAACATCATTCATTCTTCAGTTCCTCGGCCTCTCACATCCACTCTGTCCTTAGGGCCTCTCAGGTTTGTCACACCACCACATTCCCATCACAATCCTTGTCACACCTGGAATGGCTTGGTACGGCATGAATTCTATCATGCCCCAGGTTCTGCAGTGCAATTCCACAGTGCAACAGCTGAGCTCCGAGACTCCATCTTGTCTTGGCTCCTTCAAACCGTTCTCGGTGGCAGGTGATGTGATTAGATGACATGAGTCATATCAGCCCCTGCCATAACTTGTGGCGTGGAAATGATTAAGCCATTGTTCCAAAGGACAAAGGCAGAGGAATAAGATGAAGACAAGCACAAGCGAGCTCCCTGAGATAGCAGTGCTAGAAGCCAACCTTCCCTGGAGTCACACATTGGTGACCAGTGGTTGTCATGGTGACAAGGGGAAAGAGTGGGGGCTCAGTTCCTCCACCTGCAGACTGCTCTAGGCAAACAGCATCCTTTTGGTTGCTATCTGGAGCTCTGACTGATGCTAAGGTTTTTGAGAGGAAGGGAGGATCTTTGGCTCACCAAAATTCTAAATTCACTGCAGTGTTAGCAGGAGTTACCACGTCTGGTTTGATGTCTGTCTTCAGTCTCCCCAAAGCTGTCAACTCTTTCCCGTCCCCCGTTGGGCAAATCATGATCCAATACCTTGTCTCGTTCTCCTTCACCTGAGCCACCGCCTATGTACAGTGATTCCTAGCTCTTCCACTCAGAGACTTCCTTTCCTGTATCCCTACTGGTGTTTTGGTAGACTGAAATAAAAATGCTCTCTTTCTACCTAGAAATTAAGCACAACTAAAATGCTGATTGGCTTCCATGCCTCATAGTCCTCATGTAACCATTTCACGGCCTGAGCTAGAAACCTCCATTTTCGTTATCCTTTCACATCTTGTATGCGTGAAGTCCTGTGTGATGTACTCAGAAATCACCCATCCCTATGCTCTTCCATTCTGCCGAGCCTTCTCACTCCTCCCCTTCCTCACTTGTACTTTGCATTAGCACAAACATCCATTTGACACTTGTTGTTATTTTTTCCAGTATCTTCTTATATTATCCACTTATTACTGTGGGGTACAAACTATGTTAAATCACATAGACACAGACTCTCAAACCCACTTCCCCACTTGATGTGGCATCTTAAGGCTAATTTCACTATCTCAAATTGCTCTCTTCATTCTTTGCAGTCTGTCTTTCCCTACCAGTGTTTATTAAGCCACTCTGCTAAAATGGGTTTTATTGTTCCCCGCCCCCACGGTTCTCTGTCTCTAAGATTTTCACACACATATGAAAGCACCTCGGGACCTTGTTAAAATGGAGATTCTGAATGTAGTGGGCCCGAATGAAGCCCTGGATTCTGCATTTCTAAACCAGTATTGGGGTGGGGAACACAATGCCTCCCTCTCCTATATCTGGTGACCTCCTACCTTACAGCAAGCACAGAAAATACCTCCTTCCCATACCGTCCTTCTGCTACAGTTCCAGGCAGAGAGCTTCCTTCTCTATTCTGTTTAATGCCTTTTGCTTGTCTATCGTGAGACGTTTTCTGGCCGCCTTGCATTGGGATGTGAATCCTCAGAGTAGCAGCAATATGTCTCCAACACCATGCTGATAACCAATAAAAACTCACTGAATGAAAGAGGCCGAGTGTGACAATCAAAAATACTGTTGTTAATCTAACTGTGAGACTTTGCTTTGCTTATTGAATTGCTTAGATTTGTAGCAAGTGAAATTACCCCATAACAGACAGAACCAAGGTTTCTAACTAAATGGTGACCTATATTACAACTCCATTATACCATCATGGCAGATTATGGTAACTTAAGTCATAATGTATATATTTATAGTGGTAAAACATTGCTTAGTATGTACAGGGTCCTGGGTTTAATCCCCAGCATCACAAATAAAAGAAAAATAAACTGAAAAGTAAATTTTCTGTCATTAATTGATACAGAAGACTGTTACTTTTTAGGTAACCAAATCAAAGTATTGAAAGGTGCTAGCTTATTAATAACATTTATTTTCCTTAGTAGTTTTTAGCATTTTTCCTTTCTAGCCTCCAACACAAACAAGTACTTTAGTGAATATGCATTACTCTTTCAAAATATGCATTACTCTTTCAAATTAGCATCTAGTACAGAAACTGGAAACAGATCAAAGAAGCAAAGTTTGTAGATAGAGCTGTTTTAATTTGGTTTGTTCCTTTAATTTTTTAATTTTTCTTCTTACTAGGTTACTGGGTCTCAGTATTTGAGAAGCTAAACTTCTATAAATGTTGTTTTGTTTTAATAAGCAATAGAGAGATTCTCAATGTCACACAAAATGGAAATCTATATTTTAAAATATTTCTATAAGGTATTTACCTTATAGTTTCTCTCATACCCACACAATAAGAGATTCTGTACTAAATAAAGACAAATAGATATGAGAAGTAATCACTTTTTAGGGTGTTTCTTCAAGGAATGTGCTAAATGAATCTTCTTGTCATTTTGATGTTAGGCTAATACTCTTCTCAAGAAAAGTGAGCTTTTCATTGGGTTTTACAGAAATAGTAAAAAAGTAGGCTCTGAGTGGCAGCAAACTAAGTATAAATATGTCCTAACCAGAAGCTTCCAGTTGATATGATGTTGCTGTAATTATCTATAAACATGACTTTAGAACTCCTGCTTCAATACCTAAGATTTTATAGAAATTCACTTCATATTATTCTGATATATTTGTCCCATATTTATTGTGGAATTAATAAATTACATTCTATTTCAGCTATACTAATCAACATTTAGGTTATAAACCACACTTCCCAGTACTGTGTCCAAGGTAGGTTTTCGTATAAACTGACGAGTATAATTGTAACTTTTACATATAGGAAATAGATTTTAGCTAAAAGGTACTACTAGTGCCAGCGATGTATTTTTAATAACTAACATGTCTTGCTTACTTCCTTCTTTATACACCCCTTGTTTCTTCTTTATCTTACTCCATGTTGATTTATAGCAAGGCTAATGAACTTCAGCTTCAGCACCCTCAGCTGTCCCTTCTACATCTTTAGAAACTGTGGCCATTTGGATCCTTTTCTTAAAGAAGGCCCTTTAATCACATAAGCCTCTTTTGACTTCATAAAACCACTTCAGCATATAACGTATGATTAGATATCAGGATCTTTCTTTGGGATACAGCAGAGAAGACCAAAAAAGTAAAAATGAAGCAACTTTTTTTTAAAATCTGAAGTCATACAATTAATGTAGAAAATAGAATGATGATTTTTTTTTCCCATACAGTTTCTAAAGCTCCACCAAAGGCTGCTGGTCTCTGCTGGTGTATCATCCTTTTCACAATACTTTGCCCAATCTTCCTTCATCGTTTTTCTGATGGACATATTATCTTCAGCTCTCAGTCAGTCTACAAGGAAGTTAATAGCACGCAAGATCCAGACTGACAGGGATATCTTGCCTCTGTTACCAGCCCTGCCTCAACAGGAGATGGAAGACAGTGATGTCAGGAGAGGACAGCTTGCTATATAGTTTGCAAACCTGTAAACTATTTGGCATCATGTAGTTCTTTTTCTGTTTTCTCCCCCAGTCCAGAACTCCAGTAAAGCAATTGAGGTACCTAACATGCAAAATTAAGCTTGGATTTATGAGCCTGCTGATAAACGTTCACTCACTGAATGCCAGCTCCCTTCTCCACCCCGTTACTTTTGTACAAAGTCTGCAGCCAAGGCCATGAGTACAATCTGCCTAATGGAATGCTCTCATTTGATTATAAAATACATAATTGTCCAACTGTTTTTCCAGAGAATGATGAGGAGCAGGAGGCGCTGCCAGGTCTGGATAAACCTGGATGGTACTCCCAAGGGAATGCTGTCCATCTTTATGACCTTCTGAAGAAAATGACAGGCAAAGCTGAACCCAAGGTATTGTCTGGTTGATACAGTCTTTGATATCCACTTATAGATACCAGCTGCTGTAAACTAAACCCGTTGTTGCAAATCCACTTGGGTTATCTATGGAAGAATTATCTGCTTCTGCCATTTACCAAATCTCTTTACACCTTCTGATTAAATTAGTTCTTCATTTTTTGATATAGCCTTAGTCTTTATCTCTGACAGAAAAAAGCTAAGGCTCCACACAGGGAAGGCCACAAATCTAGGGAGTACACAGCATTCATGTGTGATACTGTGATATCTTGATAACAGTTCTTCAAAAAAGTTTCAATATGTGAAACAAATAATACTGAAATTATAGACAGTCTAGACTAAGGACACAGAAGACTAAGCACTTTGCATTTGACATCCTGCTTATATTATTGATGTGGGACATTGTAAACTGTTTACAACAGAACCTTTTCTTCTTAAAACACAAAACAAAATGGGTTTGACAATGGGATTCTATGCTTCCATCAGAAAGAATGATATGGTATCATTTGTAAGGAAAGGAAAGACTTGGGGGGAAAATTCTATTAAGTGAAGTAAGCCAGACCCAAAGAAACATAGCTTACATGGTTTCTCTCATTTGTTGTAACTACAATATGCCTATCAATCTACAAGTCAACACACTCAGTGGTAAAAAAACAAAAGATGCACTAGGATATGATACATTGTACAGGACTCTAGACATTAACACAGTGAGACCAAAAGAGGTTATTCTCAGAAGAAAATGACAAAAGCTCAATAGTTATGTGTGTGTGTGATCACATAAAATGATATTTATGGAAATGAACTCCAAGAAATGAGAACAAGAGGTTTTTGTTATTTTGCCTTTGGTTTGTTTTTTCTCCTTTGTCATTGTTCTTGATTCCTGTACCTTTTGTCTTGTATTCAAGTTTATCTATTTTGGGAAGCGTAAGGGGGAGCACAGAAATGGTGGGATAAAGGGTGAACGAATTCAGCAGTGGTACTCACTAGACACTATGTTGAAAATGGACTATACACCTTGGGGCCAGGACGAAGGGGGTGGGGGGATAGTCAGGAGGGAAAAACTGGGAGAAAACGAAGGAAGAGGTGAGACTGTTCAAAAAGAAATGCACTCATTACCTGATGTATGTAACTGTAACCTCTCTGTACTTTGCCCTTACAATAACAATAAATTAAAATACTGTAAAACCAAGTGTTTAATAGGAATCACATAAAGCAAGAGAGGTCATCGGGGAGGGGAGGAGGATGGGGTGGAGGTACACTTGGCCTTGCAATTGGCTCCCACATTGCCACCACTCAGAATTTCTGAGGGCTTTAGTGGACAAAGACATTTGGCTTGGAGGTTCTAGTTCTTAACCCTTGCTTAACCATATTTCCTCATCTGTATGTTGAAGAGTAGACCAGATCAGTGGGACTTTGCCTTAATATCTAATGAGCTTTCTAGATTTCATGTGCCAAGCCACACTTTACCCTATGTCTCAGCACCTGTCAGGTAGAACCCAGAAACTATTTAGAACAGTTAGTGTAATGTATATTCTTTTTCTTGTGTGTGTGTGTGTGTGTGTGAGTGTGTGTCTGTGTCCATGTGTGTCTGTGTCTCTCTGTCTGTGTATGTGCCAGGAGATTGAACTTGGCCTGGGCATTGTTTCTGAACTTTTGTGTTCAAGGCTAGTGCTCTACCACTTGAACCATGCCTTCACTTCCAGCTTTTTTTGTTGTTCTTGTTAATTGGAGATAAGATGGAAGCAGGGTGTGGGTAGCTCACGCTTATAATTCTAGCTACGCAGGAGGCTGAGATCTGAGGATTGCATTTCAAAGCCAACCTGGGCAAGAAAGTCTGTGAGACTCATATCCAATAAACTACTCAAAAAAAGCCTGAAGTGGCACTTTGGCTCAATTAGTAGAGCGCTAGCCTTGAGCACAGAGGCTCAGGGACAGCACCCAAGCCCTGAGTTCAAGCCCCAAGTCTGGCAAAAAAAAAAAAAAGAAAGTCTTATGCAACTTCCTTCCCAGGCTGACTTTCAGTTACAAACCTCAGATCTCAGCCTCCTGAAAAGTTAGAATTACAGGTGTGAGTCACCAGTGCCCAACTATAATACATACTCTTGATAATGACTCACAAACTGTACCTAATATTTCACCAGCTCTTCAATTCTGGGAGCAGGTTGAATTATAAGCATATAGAGGTTCACTTCTTTAGAATTTTTTATCTCATCTTCTGCCTTTTTCCTACCTGCAGATGGCTTACATAATTTCTTAATATAAACCTAGAGCTCTGTAAATCAAGTGGACAGGTCAGCGGTCAACTGTGAAGTTATCCAAGAAAGTTTAAGAGGTCTTTGGAATTTTTGATTATCATATTGTGAAGCCTGTTGAGGAATTTTCTTGTCTTCCACAAAACAGCCCCCACTTTCAGAATTTCCATGCTTTAACAGAACTTGCTCTCTGACTTTCAGGTGGTTTACTTCGGTGACAGCATGCATTCAGATGTGTTTCCAGCCCGTCACTATAGCAACTGGGAGACAGTCCTCATTCTCGAGGAGCTCCGAGGGGAGGAAGGTGGGAAGCCTGAGGATTCAGAGCCTCTGCAGAAGAGAGGAAAATATGAGGTGATGATCCTACCAGCTCTTTTCTAGAAAACTCAACATCCTCATACTACCTGATCCCACTAAGCACCCTCATCATTCTATCATCTGTTTTTGTATATATTATTGGGCTCGTGCTCCCTTGGGGGAATTTTTCAGATTATGAAAATAGATAACTTTCACTAGTTTCAGTTCAAGGTAAAGGCTATTTAATTATAAATATTAAGTATAATTTCCCTTCCATAAATGTAATAGGCACCCAAAGCCTGCTGAAAAAAAAACAAAACAAAAAAAAAACCCTACAGAGTTTCTCTGGTTTGACTTACTTACAGGTGGACCCATTGCAACAATGAGATGTACAAGTCGTTATGTCAAAAACGAACTTTACAACTTTGGGGTGGGGGGGGAATTGGGGGGGTGGGGGGAGAGGATGGGAAGGGCAAACAAAGGAGGAGGCTACAATGCTTGATAAGAAATGTACTCATTATCTTGCCCATGTAATTGTAACCCCTCTGTACAGTATTTTCACAATAAAAAAAGAACTCTGAGATGAATTAATCACAAGTTTCATTATTAGTCGTAATTGTTATTCTGTTCTCTTGTTTCAGAGACCAAAGGCAAAGCCTCTAAATACTTTATCTAATAAGTGGGGCTCTTTTTTCATTGACTCAATTTCGGGACAGGAAAATTCCGAAGACTCCTTGGTTTATACCTGGTCTTCTAAGAGAATCAGTACTTACAGCACAATCGCCATTCCAAGTATTGAAGCCATTGCAGGTAAGGTGGAAAGCACCTGTGAAAGCTTTTCTGGTTGTTAGAATTCTTAGAAGGAAACCTTCTCATGCATTAATATTTTTCCTTGGGAAATATCTTCTAGGTATGGCAGCCTTTCTGTTAGAGCCTACTACGAAAGTTAGATATATTTCTGAAAGGTCGTCTGGGAGGAATGGAATCAAATAGGGAAATTTTACCCGGATGGGATACTTAGAAGGCCCAGTAAGGTGAACCTGGCTTTGAGGCTGCCTCCATCCACCCTCCCACTTCTCCCTGTTCCAGGCTGCTGGTTCCAGAGAGGTTACCACAAAGGATGAATGCACTTTGAGTAACTTTGTGAATCTAATGGGATAAGAACTGGAGGAGAGGGACTGCCTAAGGAAGGCCAGGCCTGGAATATATATATATATATATGCATAGGGAAGGTATATGCATCAGGAAGTAATCCTTATTTTCACAGGGACCTGAGCCCTGCTTCACATTAGTCAAGCTCATCATTCTACATCTTACATTATTCCCATGTACTTTTTTTTTTTTTTTTGCCAGTCCTGGGCCTGAACTCTCTGGGTCTGGGCGCTGTTCCTCAGCTCAAGGCCAGCGCTCTACCACTTGAGCCACAGTGCCACATCTGGCTTTTTCTGCTTATGTGGTGCTGAGGAATGGAACCCAGGGCCTCAGGCATGCAAGGCAAGCACTCTACCACTGAGCCACCTTCCCAGCCTTCCCATGTACTTTTCATAAGGTGCATCACATAATGAAAAACAGCCAGCCAGACTTATCAGCATATAAGAGCACAGGAACAGAAATACTGTGTTTCCTATAAACACATATAGAAAAGAATGAGAAATATGTTACAGATGTAAAAACTATAAAAAGATGGAAATTTTAGAATTAAAGTACTAACAAAAAGAAATTAAGAATGTAATGGATGGGGTTAACAGAGTACGCATAATGGGAAGTAAATGATTGTACTGTAAAATCAAAGAAAATGTGGAGAGACCAAAGGAAAGAAGGCATGTTAAAAAAAAAGTCAATAAAGAGTGAGGAAAAGTGAATTTTGTATATTCTAGAACTTAAATACTGCTCCAAAGAACTAGAAAAATTACTCCCTTCACCCCTGTGTCCTTAGCCATAACCTCAGGGCACCACCCACTTCTTTACCCTGAAAGCTTTGTTCACAGCCCCCTACAACTTGGTAGGGTCTTTGTCTTTTGTCTAACTTCTCTCAGGAAGAATAATTAACTAGGACTCACTCATAGTCAAACAAAGCTAAACAAGCTCCCACTGTTCTGTGGGGAAAGAGAGTTGTTCTGTTTAATTGATTATTTGCATGCTGAAGACACTTCCTCAACACTAAAAGTATTCATCGGTACCAAGCACATTTGGCTGTAATGCCATGCTTATTAAGAAGGTGTATGTACCTCACACAGAACTTCTCTTCTTTCATTCTGATACACATTTAGCACAGTTGGGTACTGCTGTCTAATTTCAGATGAGAAAGATGGCTAGAAAAGACAAGTGTGGTAGTTATGGCTTTGGAGATTTTTGTTAAAGGTAGAATTCTTATGTGAAAATCTTGTTAGTCTTCTTTTAGTCTCCAGAGTTGTTTTATTTCTCTGTATATTATATTCTTTTACCTTCAGTGATCATGTAAGAATATTCATTTTTATTCACTTCACTTAATCGCTCCCTAAATTTGGATAATATATTTAGCATTGTAGTGTATTTCATATGCAGAGGTTGACGGAAAACTGTTGGTGGTAAGCAAGAATTTGTGTCTTCCTTTCCCTTTTCTTCCAAATAGCACTCAACAATGACTTTCCTGTAGCAGAGATGTGGGTTTTTCTTGTCAACGATTTTTAGTTTTTCTGTCCTATACCTAGATTTATGCTAGATGTGCGTGTGTGTGTGTGTGTGTGTGTATGTGTGTGTGCGTGCGTGTGTGTGTGTGTGTGTGTGTGTGTGTGTTGATGCCAGGGCTTAAACTGAGGATCTGTCGCTCTCACTTGGCTTGCTTACTTACAGCTGACATTCTATCATTTGAGACACACTTTCAGTCCAAAATTTTGCTGGTTATTTTTTTGGAGACAGTCTCTCAGCCTTTTTTTTTTCTCGTTAGGCCGATTTAGAACTGAGATCCTTGGAATCTCTGCTTTCAGAGTAGCAAGATTACAGAACATGAGCTACCAGCATTTGCCTCTATACCTAGATGCCTTAACAATAACAGATTCTTTTGTTTGCTGCAAGACAGAATACCATTATTTGTTCTGTGAGAAAAGAGATAAAAAGCAAACCTCCTACACCTCACTAAGACTTGATTATCTCATTGACATTTACATACCCAGAAGACATTTTTTAAATATATTTTTATTCTTTCTAAGTAGTTCTACATAGAGGTCACAACTCAACATGTCAGGTCATGAGTACAATGTATCTTTATCAGTATCACCCTTTCCATCATTTTTAAAGTTGTTACAAAAGTAGGTACTTAACCACAAGTTAGATGGTGGTAAGCATTTTGATAAGCTTTGTTAAACTTGTAATAATTGCATAAACATCCATCTTAACTTTAATGAATGTGCAAGACAGAGCAGATTGAATGGTTGGTTCAACTCTTAGCCCGTATCACTTCAGAAATTTATTGGAAATATAGGACCTCAGTTTTAAAAACTGGGCTTCATTACTTTCCAATCTCTTTTAAAATGCATTACCTAAAATGTATTCCAGCTGACTGAGCAGTGATGACCCGCAGCACTCACTAATGCTGAATGTTTTTTCAGTACACAGTAATCCTGGCTTTTTCTGGCATCAGGAAGGCAGTGTTCCTTCTTACTAACTAGAACTATTTCTTCTCTTCATGATTAACTGTGTCCTGTGGAATCTCAACAGCCATGTATTATAAACTATAATGGCTTCCAGTGTCGTTTTTAGAATACTCAGTTCTACTGTGTGATAGTTTACTTACAAAGTTTGTGATACAGGTTTTACTATCCCATATCTACAGGGTGACTGAATATCATAACATATGTTGTTATTTTGTACTATTTCTTCTATTTGTATAGGTGCTATCTATACAAATGGTTAAAGGAATATTAAAAGTATGAGACTAGAAATCAAGGCACAATGTAGTCATAAACTGCTTTGTTGAATGTACAACTTTGTACAACTACTTACAGATAATAAAAATAAACTTAAATATCAAATTTTGATTTCATTTATATTCATGAAAGGTATGGATACCTGCAAAATAATCATATTTTTTTTGTTTTCCTCCCTCTCCAGAACTACCCCTGGACTACAAATTTACAAGATTCTCTTCAAACAATTCAAAAACAGCTGGCTACTATCCATTGGTTCGTTAGCCTTTTGGTTCACTGCACCAGTATTCGTATTCAATGATAAGACACTAAATTGTCTTTCCCAAAAAAAGTGAAGAACTTCTATGCAGCAAATATACTGTAAAAATGTTTTCAGAAATATTGTAAAATTCTTTATAGGAACAAGTTTTTAATGAAAATTGATGCAAAAATTGGTATTTAGAAAATACATCTCCTTTTATATAAATCATTTTGATGCCTAACAATTCATCTTATTTAAAAATCTTGGAATTTAGAACTAAAAAGAACACTTTTGCTATTTTCTCTACCATTAATTTTAAAATTGGAATTCACCTGGGAGTATATAAATGCACATATACATTTGTACATATATCTCATCCAGTAGTTCTCAAAATATGGTCCACTTTGAGCATGGTGTCACCTAGAACTTTCTAATGTAAGTTTGAAGATCTATCCAAGAGCTAAGGAATTAGAAACTCTGAGACTAGCTCCTAATGATGTGTTTTAACAAGATTTTTCAGGAGATTCTGAATCATACTACAGTTTGAAAACCAATAGCTAGACCATATACTTCAGAGATTGGTCTAATTGCTCTGGATAAATAAAGCTAAGTACTGCTTTTTTTTTTCTATTATCTTTTTTTGCCGGTCCTGGGGCTTGAACTCCCCGAGCTTCTTTTGCTCAAGGCTAGCATTCTACCACTTGAACCACAGCACCACTTTGGGCTTTTTCTGTTTATGTGGTACTGAGGAATGGAACCCAGGGCTTCATGCATGCTAGTCAAGCACTCTCCCACTAAGCCACATTCCCAGCCCTATTGCTATCTTTTATATTACCTTATTAGGAAGTAAGCTAATATATACCAGTTTTTTAAAATTTATAACCAAGACCATTGAATCCAGGAAGATTAAATTATTTTTCCAAGATGTTGGGTTTTATGCTATTCTTATGCTTTCCAAAATAAGAAATTAGTAGGAAAATATGGGGCAGATGCCACTCTGAACATCCTAAGACCTGTATTCTCAGGGGAGCAAAAACTGGCTTTTAGGTTGTAAAACAATCTTAGATATAATACAATGGTTTGTTCCCTTCCAGAATGCTCGATCATACTTGCCAACTTGACTTCCAGAGCACTAACTTTATCACAAGGGAAAATCACAGTTACTGATTTTCAGATAAATTTTATTTTTCTCCTTAGGGGAGAAAAAAAACGTGATAGAAAATAAAACTTATGAAAAACTGCTTAAGGGGGTTTTAGGAGTAAAGTACCATCCAGGACTGTTGTACCCTGTGTGCTATGTGTAGTTAAATTAAGAATATTCGTTACAAGCTGTTTGGATCCAGAAAGTGATTACAGTAAATTCCTGGCTACATTTATTCTGTCATTTCACTGTCTACAATGGACAAGACCAGAAAACAGCCTTGGTCATTATCATCCGTTTTTTTCTTAGACTGTTTCAGGAATGTAACATATTGACACATGCAATGAAAAAGTATTTTGTTAAAATTTGTTAAGATGCTCAGATAAATCCCAAACATACTGTGGGGATGACTTTCTCAGGGTAAATGAAATGTTAATAAATTTGTTTTCCCTCAAAGTTAGTGATGTTGTTTGATATAAGCCAATTTGAAATCTTTCAAATGCCAACGGAGTATCATAATGAGCATACACTGTCAAGCTCAAGAAAGGCCAAGTACAAGATGCTCTCATGTCTGCTTTCAGTAAAGATTTGATGTCTTTTAAAAATAAGAGCTATTTTTCCTTATCCCTGTTTGTTTATAAATGAGAAAGAATATTTTTAATGCTTATGAACTGCTATGAATATGAAAAATAAGAAGCCCCAAATACAAATTAATTGTTTTTTGCACTTTTTTCCCACTGAGAAGTGTGTATGGCAGGGCGGGGGGGGGGGGGGGAGGGGGGACTCTTAAGCTCTAAGCTCTTAGTCCTATTTTTGCTGGCACCCACTTCCAGACATTGAGGCCCATTACCTACCACCCAATATAACCTTAGCCCTTTCCATCTTACAAAAAGAGAGGTCGAGTTGTTTTTTTGTTGTTGTTTTTTTAAGTTGCCTTCCACCTTTTAGTATATCAGATCTGACTCGAGTAAATGTTGTTAGGCTATAATTCGGCTTTTTTAATTTTAATTTTGCTCTTTATTTTTAAAAATGCCAGTGTTTCAAACTGGGTATGAAGAATAAAACAGCAATCATCCAAAACTAGAATCATAAAACATTTAAGAGGACTATTGGGAGAAGTAGCGTTTATTTTTTTAAAGGAGATATGTAGAGTAAAAACACAGAAAACATTTTCCAATACTAACAGTGTAGTTTTCAGTAGTAATAAAGTTTTTAGTAGGAAATACCTACAGTGATATTTGAAAGTTAAAATACTGTTGTCAGTAAAAACTATCCTATTCGTCATCCTTTACTATTACGTTGAATAGAATTCTTTCAACGGGCTTTAGAATTTTGGAAGAAAAATAGATTCTATGAATACATAATTTTATTTTTCCTTCTCCAATTTGTTGTTTTAAAAAGATTATGCACTGGGCACCTGTGGCTCATGCTTATAATCTTAGCATCAGGAGGCTGAGCTCTAAGGACCAAAACCAGCCTAGGTAGCAAGTCTGTGAGACTCTTATTCCAATTAGCCACCAAAAAATGTAAAAAAAAAAAAAAAAAAAGCCAAAAATGAAGCCATGGCTCAAATGACAAAGTGCCAGCCTTGAGCAAAAAAGCCCAGAGACAATGCCCAGGTCCTGCGTTCAACCCCTAGTACCAGCACACACAGAAAAAGAATGCCTAAAAGCTGGGCACTAGAGGCTCACACCTGTAACCCTAGCTACTCAGGAGGCTGAAATCTGAGGATCATGGTTCAAAGCCAGCCGGGGCAGAAAAGTCCGTGAGACTCATCTCCAATAAACCACTAGAAAACCAAAAGTGACGCTGTGGCTCCAAGTGGTAGAGCGCTCGCCTTGAGCTGAAGAGCGCCCAAGCCCAGAGTTCAAGCCCCACGACTGACAAAAAAAAAAAGCCCAAAATAAGATGACTGAAATATGTCTAGATATAATTTTCTATATCTCAATATAATAATGACAGCAATAGTATAATTGTAATATAGCAATTATACTATAATTACTATACTAATTATAGATAATGGTACTGTTACTAATATCTTGTGCTTTGTTGTTAGGCTGTTTTGTAAAAATTTGGATAACTCCCTAGGCTTTCTGTAGTCTAGTGCTGTGAATGCCACCAGAGCTTGTGACCTGAGTCACTAAGCACTTTTAGCCATCTAAGCAACCACTTGACATAACTGGCCCAAAAGTTCTGATTTGCATTACTAACTTAAATACACAGTCAAAGTGCTGTCCCTGGGGCAATTCTTTGTGAATTCTACTTGCTAAGGTGCAAGTAACCCAGAAACTTAAAGAGCTAGGTTTTCTTTTGTTAAGCTCAACCATCTGTTTGAAGCATTATCCCTCTTTTATTTCTGTGAATGTAATCTGAAACTGTCCTATTTCCTACCTTTATTACCAGCTTCAGTCTAACCAGTGGAGTTCATCCCTCTAACAAATTAGCCAGCATCACTCCTTTGTCACAAATTACGAGTTAGTCTGCTGAAATTAGTCATTAGACTCAAATATCATAGATTTCACTTACCAACCATTTATTTCACTCCAAAAACCCCATTCCATTTTCTTGCATGACCTTGACTTTCTTCCTCAGTTAAACACTCTAAATTTATTATTTATTTATTTATTTACTTATTGCCAGTCCTGGAGCTTGAATTCAGGGCTTGGGCACTGTTCCTGCGCCTCTTTGTGCTCAAGACTAGAGCTCTACCACTTGAGCCACAGTGCCACTTCTGGCTTTTTCTGAATAGTTTTATTGGAGATAAGAGTTTCACAGACTTTTCTGCCAGCACTGGCTTTGAATTGCAATCCTCAGATCTCAGCCTCCTGAGTAGCTAAGATTGCACTGGCTTCTGGCTTAGACCCTAAATGTCTTTATTGACATTGAATCTTGATATGTAGCCTAAGGTATCTATGAACTTATGATCCTCCAGCCTCGGCCTTCTCAGTGTACCTCTGCACACAGCTTCTCAAGTTATTCTTTATGTAGCCCTCTCTCCAAACCAATAATCCTCTAGTCTTCTAGTCACCAGAGAAATCCTGTCATTCTGGTCTGGTGAGGCCATAGGGCCCTGTGAGGATAGAAAGTGATAGAATCTTCCTGTGGCCTTTTCATAACTTTAATGATCCCCCAACCATGTATTAACCTACACAGCACAGAACTTTTTATTCATTTTTATTGTAGGAAGGGAAACAAGAAGTGTGTCAGTCACATTTTTTTCCTTCAAGCACATAGGAGAGAGACAAAGTAGTAGTGATTCTCATTTAGTGTGACAGTGATTCTACTAATCCCTACACTGGTTAGGAACATAGTATCAAGTACATTATTATTTGGGCAAGAGATATCAAGTAAGACAACAATTACATTTTTCTTTTTGAGAATACTTTTACGAGACATAGAAACAATTTGCAAAGTCTTTAAACTCTTCACAGATCACATTATTCAAATTATATTTCTAAGATTAGAACTATACACTGACAAAGACCAGAACAAGTTAATCTAGTTAATGAATATTCACAGAAGTCTTCATACTGCACAGAACACAAATTTCAATATTTTTTGCACGTGTTCACAATGACAAGCAGAAAGCAGGGCTGTAAACATCAATTTTGTCAGTAGGCCGAAATGGAGAAAGGAATAGGATTTTCCTAACACAGTGAAATAAGGAGCATATACCATAATCTCCCACATTTATAAAGGACACTACTAGAATCATAGAGAAAACACCCAGACTAGTATTAATAAAATTCTACTCGTGAATTCAAGGAGTTAGGAAGAACTGGAGGACCATCTGCTCTGAGCATCCTATTTGATTCTCCCACCTCTACTGACAAAGTGCCTCAGGCTCTGCCCTTCCCCCATCAGAAACCCTGCAGGGCATCTTTTCCTGTGGGCCTGGGGAAGCTTGCTTTCTCCACCTCTGCATCTAGGCCTTTACTTAGATTCCAGCCTACAGCAATCACCCACTGATTGTGCCCAAACCCCTGGAGAGCTTAGGGCAAAGCCTTCAAAGTAGGAGAGGAAAAGTGAGGGCTGATGGTCACACCACCACACCCCTTCACATTAAAACTGCCCCAGCAGCGCTGAGACTCACGTCCAAGGACTTACCCTGGAAACCCAGACTTCCCATGTTCCCTCATTCCCTTCATCCTCCAGAGGAACCCTGGGGTCTACCCACAATGCCAGCTGCACGCAGCCTGTGCCCTCCTTTGTGAAGATAAATGCAGGGAAGGAAATGCAAAAGCTGCCAAGTGAGCGCTCCGAAGGCCAGGCAGTAGGATAGAGCCAGTAATGAAATAATACAGGCCAGAAATGCTGTTGGTAGATCATTTCTGCAGCCCAAAGGTCCAAAGACAAAGAAAAAGCTGGCATCCTTAAGAAAAGTGAAAGGAATTCTTAGTTGCTTTAGTTCACACCCTCGGACTGGGGGGGAGGAGGGAGGGTCTTGAACCCATCACCTGCTCTGCCTGGTTTGGTTCTCTGTGTGAGCTGTAACTGCTTCCAAGAAAGAAAAGGAAGAAGAGGGAGGGGGATAGGAAACCATATTTCTCAGTGTCCCTACTCGTGCAACTTTGTCATGACCAGAGAGGCTGTGGAAGAGGCAAAGGAGGCACTATCTATAGTAAGGGTGGTTAGTTGTAGGGCTGAGAAAGAATACAGGTTCAAAGTGACTCAGCCAATTGGATTTGTGGGAAATCAGGGGGCGGGAGGGTCCTGTATGCTGCCTGAAAGCCTAAGTCCATAGGTAGTACTGAGGCAGCCAAACATAGGCCTCCATAATCACCAGTAGCCGATCACGATGCACAGTAAACTGAAGGTACAAGAAGACCAACATGGTAACATAAAACTCACGTTACTTCATTCATGCCTAGAAATCACACACACACACACACACACACACACACACACACACACACACACACCTCCCACCAGCCTCCTGCTTGTCCTACCAGATTAACAAGCAGGATAGATAGAAGCAGCCAGCAAAGCAGCTGGACCCAACTTAGTGGCTGCCTGGACTGTGCAGTTGGGGTTGATGGCTGGGTTGGCATGTCAGTTTCATCTTGCAGTGGTGAGACTCAAAGAGCTTGTCGTCGTTGCCAGGACATCAGGAGCAGAGCCGGCCATAGCACATGAAGCCAGGCTGGTTATTCATAAAGATGGGTCGCGCTTCCTCGTGGCAGAGAACCACGTCGACAAACAGGGAGCAGACCACCGTCACAGACAGGGGGGGAGGGGTCCAAGCCATGCAAAGGAGAGCAGTCCGAACCATCCGGAACTTGGCAATAAAAGCAGGAGAGAGGCCATGCACTCGGAAGGCGCTAGCTGTGATGCGGAACAGCAGGAAAAAGTGCAGAGGAAGAAGAGCACAGGCGTCTATACACTGATCATCGACAGTCCGACCGTCTCAGCATCAACGGCTGGAGACCTGGAACCACAGGACCACATTAACTCAGTACGAGAGAAAGCAGACAGAAGGGTGCATGCTGCCGGCCAAGCACAGGAGGGTGGTGAAGAAACGTGAGCGGGAGCTTGTCAGGAGGGCCGGGGCTCATTTTAGCCAGACTGGAACCTGAAGGATCTGGGGCTCTCCACGGGCTGCCTCGGGGCGCCTCGAAAGCCTCTTCGGGGCCCTTCACCCATCAGGTAGTATTGCAGGGGGTTGGACCAGAGTTCGCCTTTGATGATCTCGGCGATCCTGTCGAACTCCAGGAGGCTGTGGTCTGAGAACCAGTTGAAGAAGCTGGGGATGGTGTTGCCCTCCCGGTTTCTGTGGATGTGAGCCTGGGGGTCCTGGCCCCGGTGCCAGCGGATGGGCGTGGACAGGGACACCACGCGGCCCGAGGATCGGCGCTCGTACTCCTTGACCAGCCCCTCGTTTCGGAAGTAGGGGTTGCTCTGGAAGATGAACTTGAATTTGCAGCCGGCTCGGGGGTGTTTGAGCTCCTCCACCTCCAGGTTGATCATGTACCTCATCATGTCTTCGTCCTGGCCGCTGATCATGGGCGACAGCTGCGGGTGGTTCCGAAACGCGGTGACCCAGAACCCCGGGATGTTCTGGATGATGAAGCTCCGGCGCTGCATGTGGAGCCTCCGCATCCGCCCGAATTTGCGCTCCAGCTGCAGAAAGGCCCGGTCGGCCTGGGCGTTGACGTTCGACAGCTCCTGATCGATGGCCTCGAGCGAGTCCATGCAGGTGTTGATCTTCGGGGCCCGGGCCCGCGGCTCCTCCTTCCCGCCCGCCGCCGCCTTCTTCTCCTTGGGGGCCGCCTTCTTCTCCTCGGCCGCCGCCGCCGCCGCCTCCGCCTCGCCCTCCGCGGCCGCCGCGGCCGCCATGGCGCCCTTCTTGGTCGTGGTCTCCTTGGCCTTGGCTCCAGGGATCCTCGGGGCCCCCGACCCCGCGGCGTCGCAGGCTTCCAGAGCCTTGGGCCCGGCGGGGCTGCGCGGCTCGCCATCTTTCCGGCTGGGGTCATCTTTCTCCGCAGCCGCAGTGCCGGAGGCGGCCGCGCCCGAGCCCGAGGATGGGGGCTCGGCATCCCCCGGCCCCTCTCTCGGGAC